TTAAAAGGAAGGAGCATAATTACATATATACATTACGTCTTTAATTATCTTTGTTATTCTTAGGATAATCCTCCTGGAAATAGCACTTTGTTTTTCAGAAAATACAGCAGAAGCTTTTGTTTATTTTATTTTACTGTCTTTAGTATAAAATGCAATAAAACTTGTTCCAAATATGTTCAAGCCTACAGTTGTGAAGACTTGCACATATCTGCATTTAACCACTTATAAACTATTCAATTTTTAAAAGTCTTGCTGTGCTAGTATTTTGAAGAAGTATATACAGACCAATTTTGCATTCAATTGTAAAACTCAAACATTTTTATATTAGACTTAAAAGTACATTAGATCATGTACATTAGTACTTGACTTTTGCAGATTTTTGTTATGAAAAATTTTTATAGGTCTATTAGAAACCCAAAAAACTGGACAATCAGGCCATAAACTCTCACTTTTAAATTCACTACAGATGACAATTTTTGATATTTTGTGAATTCAAAATACGTATTTTGTCAAATTACAAATAAACTACAAAAAGAACTGGTATTAATATATGTTACTGTATAAAAATACATAGAAAATGTAAAGAAATTGACAGAAAAGAAAGATACTTTGTGTATATAGATCTGCATGTCTAACTACTTCCTACGACATTTTACTTTTAAATAAAGTAGGATACTGAACGTCACCAGTTTCATATGTGCATGATACACAGTACAAATAAATCTTACACAGTAAAGAGCAATTTCCACGTTCACTTGTGAGAAAGCTTCGTTACTAGCAAATAAAAATTTTACTGGAGAGCATTAACTGCTTATAATGGATACTAGGTTTGGTTTAACTAATAAACACCAGACAGATGTTAATGCACAACAGCCATGAAAATAATATATGAGCCTGAATATAATACTAACAAGAAATCTGGTGTCAAATAATAACTAAAAAATAAATGATTAAGAAAATATAAATGATCAAGCACCACTATCAACCACAACAAAAGATATTAAACAACTCAATAACAGTTAACCTGATCCAAATACAACAGTCAAGATGTCAGAAGTACCTATCATTCCAATGCATATGAAATGGCCTTCAAGTTAATGAACAATTATGAATAAAATTTATTCACTTACAGCTCCAATGTAATTACGATTTTCTCCTTTGAGTGTACTTATAAACCTAAGGGTCGGGATATGTTGTTTTAGATCTATATGATGCATAATTTATAATAAAGGAAAGCTAAGAGCTTCAAATCTAAATATATACATTACAATTATAAATTAATACACACTGAGACCTGAGTCTAGAATTAACAACAGTTTCAGTCATATTTTGAAAATCCATCTTAAAACTTCAGACAAGTAAGTATTTTTGTCACAGATTTAAAAACCTGTGAAACATCCCAAAAAGAAATTTTGGGAAGAGAACTAATCCCAAATTCCTGGATATTGCCCTGCTTACCACTGTGTTATTCTTTTCTAAGACATAGTACAAAGTATAAGAAATAACTAAAAATATTCATTTAATTAATATTTTAATAAATTTATATCCGCTAATTGTAAGTGTAGAGCTATCTCCTCTCCTGTTTAAGTCCTAAGTAAATCTAGTTATCTCTAGTTAACAATATTGTCATTATTTATAATAAATCCTTTAATATCTTATGTGATTAGGTATCAACTCTATTGTTAAGTAACAAAAGTTCTAACTTTTAAAAGTTTCAGTTACCATTCTCAGTAAAATTAAATAAAGGTGGCAATTCTCTCCCAGTCGGTAATTTTGTCCCTGGTTCACGTAATTCATCAAAAAAAGTATGAGCACATGCTTGCAGAGGAGTGATACGAGCTGATGGAGTATATTCTAGTAACTTTGCAACAAGATCAATGGCTTCAGGAGGTGTCCGAGCTCGGAATACCTAAAAATGTTTAAAATTTGTGTGATAAATGATTAAAATAACATAATTCAAACATTACAATTACAAAATAAAGACTTATTATTCTTTTCAGTCTTCCTTAATTTCTGATTTGTTTAAGTACCATACTAT